CATGGGCGATCTTACACCAGCGCTACATTAACCCATACGCCGTAAGTGTTGGTTCTATAACAGTCTTATTTTCTCTGCAGCCTGCCGAAAGAACTAAGGCCAACATGTCTAACAGTCTCGGCTAACAGAATAAAAGAGATAAGAGAAGCCTCTAGGAATCCACAGGCCCAGACAGAGGCCAAGGTCTCTCTGATTTGTTCTTTGTGCAGAATGGAAACATTAGCAGAAATCTCAGCATAGGAAGATCCGTCACTGGAGTTCTGAACTCTCAAAAACCCAAATGGGAAAACAGGCACAGAGGACACTGAGAGAAGGCTCCCTTCCAGCTCTGATCTCTCTGCAGGAAAAGCTATGCCTGCCCAGAGGAAGAGAATGATCAAACTTTCAGAGGTCTTCTAGGCTGGTCATTATTGATCACAATCCAAATTCAGTAAATACATATTTTCACAGGCCGTATGAAAGTGCAGAATCTATGCAATGTAACAGCCAAATATATGCAATGTAACAGCTTAAAATGAGCCTTCATGTTGCTGCCTTATGCTTTTATTCTAAAAAGTTATATTTTTCTCAAGAAAACATGATCTTAGTGGCAGAATAATTTATATTATTTTATATTCATGACTGCATTGCTATTACTATTTTAATTGTAGGCCTGTTGGTGCCTAGCAATCTGTGAGGCAAAGGGCTGGAGTGTTGCTGTACGTGCATGTGTGTGTACGTGTGTGTGTGTACGTGTGTGTGTGTGTGTGTATGTAGGGAGGGAGAAGATTAGAATAGCAAGAGGAGGATGAGTACGACGTAATGCTACTGGAAAGGCCTTTAACAAATTTAAAAATTTAAACATTTTAAAAATGAAATAAAATTAAAATTTTAAAAATTAAAAAAACAAAAATTAAAAAAAGTGAAAAGTAAAAATAATAAAAAATTAAAAATAATTTAAAAATAGGCCTGGTGCTGGTGGTTCCCAGCACTTTGGGAGGCTGAGGCAGGGGGATTACTTGAGCCCTGGAGTTTGAGACCAGCCTGGCCAACACAGCGAAACCCTGTCTTTACTAAAAATACAAAAATTAGCCGGGCATGGTGGCACACGGCTGTAATCCCAGTTACTCAGAGGCGGAGGCAGGAGGATCACCTGAGCTCAGTCAGGTCGAGGGTGCAGTGATCTGAGATCACATCACTTAATTCCAGACTGGGTGACAGTGAGACCCTGCCTCAAAAAAAGAACAAAAAACAAAAAACAACAACAAAAAAAATTAAAACAATTTTAAAAATTAAAGAGTAATCTAATGAGACATTCTTACAGGCTTATAATGGTGAGATGATTCCACAATTTTGGGCCACTGCACTCCAGCCTGGGAGACAGAGTGAGACCTAGTCTCAATAAAAAAAGAAAAAAGAAAAAAAGAAAAAGCAAAAAACCCAGGGGCTGGGTGCGGTAGCTCATGCCTGTAATCCCAGCACTTTGGGAGGCTGAGGTGGGTGGATCACCTGAGGTCAGGAGTTCGAGATCAGCCTGGCCAACATGGTGAAACCCCATCTGTACTAAAAATACAAAATTCAACTGGGCGTGGAGGTACATGCCTGTAATCCCAGCTACTCGAGAGGCTGAGGCAAGAGAATCACTTGAACTCAGGAGTTGGAGGTTGCAGTGAGCCAAGATTGCACCACTGCCCTCCAGCCTGGGCAACACAGTGAGACTTTGTCTTAAACAAAACAAAACAAAACCCAACAAACCAAAAAGTAATTAAAAATAAAATTAAACATTAAAAAAGAAAGGCCTATGGACACACAATGAGTAGGTAGGCACAGAGACATGTTAGCAATAAACAAAGGTGACAACACAGCTTAGGGCAGGAGACCATACCTAATGTGGATGCATACAGCAGTTCTCGCTTCTGTCATGATTAGATGGGGACACCACAAGGGGGCAGGGGCACCTTCATTGCTCAGCATGTTGAGGTGTTAATCCGTTACATTTCTGGGCTGGATGGAGGGCCCCAGTGACCTGCAATGATGCTGTTTAAGGTTAAGGTAAAGATTGAGAGCATTCATGGAAAAGATTCTAAGGTGAGAAAACCATGAGACCAAAGATACCTGTCTCCACCTTCTCCAGAAACATTGATGAACTGAAGAAGACATGGTCCATTATGCCTTACAAACTTACACAGTGCTTTGGGAATTCCAAAGTACTCAGTGGAGAGAGGGTGAGTAGAGGAAGGTGTCCCCATCCAAGCCACCAGGAACGTGAGGTAGCTCCTGAGGGATGCTCTGGTTGTCAGTTTCCAGTGTACCTGGCAGGCCTGTTGCTCAGCTTGTTGACACCTTCTTGCTGTTTGTTACTATTTTGCTCTCTGGGTAGGGAGAGGAGGGATGCTACCAGAGACATTGTGCCCGACATCGTGACCACTGTGCTGCCTTGGTCTGACATCTTCATAATGGTTTTAAGCAGGAAGCCACAGGGGAATTAACGAGTCATAGGGAACTGACAGACACTCTCTGAGCACACCTGAGTGATGTCTCAACAATCTCTTCTAAACATACAGTACTTTTCGGCACTTGTAAAGTTGGGCCATAGAGTTTGGGTTGCTTCAGCATGCTTATTTATGGACAAAACACATTGTTCATCCATTTAAGAATTCCAAGCTAGGTGTGGTGGCTTAAGCCTGTAATCCCACCTACTCGGGAAGCTGAGGTGGAAGGATCACTTGAGGCCTGAAGTTCAAGACCAGCCTGGGCAACATAGTGAGACCCATTTCTACAAAAAAACCTAAAAAATTATTTGGGCATGGTGTCATATGCCTCTAGTCTCAGCTACTTGGGAGACTGAGGTGGGAGTATCACTTGAGCCCAGGAGGTCAAGGCTGCAGTGAGCCATGATCGTGCCACTGCACTCCAGCCTGGGTGACAGAGTGAATCTCTGGCTCTAACTAAAAAAAAAAGAAAAAGTCCATTGTCACTTCTTGCTCTTCCCTGATGAAATTGAAAAACTTTACCTTGATGACCCGGTCCCAGGAGCAACCAGAAAGTAATTCTGTGTTTCCATTAGGTGGCACATGTATTTACAGAGACTCTTTCATTAAAGCGACTTCTCAACAAAGTTATTTAGTTCCAAGCATGGAAAATAAGGTCGTTCTCCTGTTACAATAAAAGCTGGCCCTTCCACCTGGATTTCCAAGAGGAAGTATTTTTCTTTCCTGGAAAAGCAGCAAAAAGAGTGAAATACTCTGGGTGGAGCATTTGAATGTGAGCAGTGCTTTTTCCTGAAGGGCCCTTCCATAAAGCCAGTGGTGCACTTTCATGAGGCCATGAGCTTTTCTTACACCCAAGCAGCTCTTTCTCCATTCTTTTCTCCTGGGATTGGTTGTCCTCTCATGTTTACTGCTGGAGGCTCAGGGTGCTGAACAAATGACTCCTGTTGGGTGATTAAATCTGAGAGTTCCTGCAGACCCAGCTAAGATTCCAGGTCCCTGAATCTTTTTGGTGTTGGAACTGAGCATGACATTTTCTGCTCAACTAGGCAAAATCAGACAGACTATCTCAATGTTGTAGAGAGAATAACAGAAAGCGTGACTGCATCTGAAGGGCATATGCCCCCTCCGTTTAAGAAGACAGAAATCGAATAACTTCCATTTTTTTTTTTTTTTTTTTTGAGGCAGGCTCTTGCTCTGTTTCCCAAGATGGAGTGCAGTGGTGTGATCATAGCTCACTGCACCCTTGACCCTCTGAGCTCAAGCAATCCTCCTGCCTCAGCCTCCCAAGTAGCTGGGACTACAAGTGTGTGCCACCACACCTGGCTTCAAATGACTTCCTTAAAGCCTCTCTATTCTGAGATGTAATCTCTTCCTGGGTGTTTGAAAGAAACAACCCATACGATTAACCTCAAAACAAAAGAGATGAGAAAAGCGTCATGAAAGTACTAAGTGCCATGTTTATTTGCACAGTCCCACATGTAATGACAGTAATAATTCAAAATGCTAGGCTGCCGGGCTCTGCTGACTGGGGCAATGAAGACATACACGCTGGAGTGGGAGGGCTTGGTGGGAGGCGCTTTGGAGACAAGGGTCCCGAAACTCTACCTTTCCCTGAGGTCAACAGCAAACTATCCGGGGTGGTGTTTGTGTATTGGTTTGGTAGCCAGTAGGAGAACCAGGGCTGTCTGTACTCATGGAAGGTGACTAGGGGAATGGCAGGGATAAGAGAGAGAGAGCACATGAGCGGGTGCTCCATGGTGGCCAGGTGTTCATTCTCCAGTCTTGTGAGCACCTCATGAGTTCAATCCCGGGACCCCTGCCCATAAGCCAGCTTCTTGGGGATATGTTGGTGGAGGTAGCTCATCTCTCCATTCTCCCCAGGCTCCGGTCCAGGTTTGTTGCCACATTGGGGTTTTACAGAGGGAGAATGGGGAACACGGCTCAAGGCGATAAAGGGGGTCTGTGATTCCCGGCTGGGATTAGAGCAGTGGGAAATGTTTTCCAACCTGTGTACATTCCAGGGCACTGAGGAAAGTGTGGTCTTTCCTCAAACCTGATGAAGAAGGGACCTAAATTCCAAGAAATCACCCATACAAAATTCTCCTTTTGATAATGGAGATAATCAAGAGGCTCTTGGGATGAGGTATGAGCATCAGAAATTTGCTTTTCAGGGTCTGGAGCCAGGTCAGTATGTTTCTCTGTGGTTAAGATTCAAAGCTTCTTGCCTTCTTGAGAGAAAGTAGTTGGTAACTTGACTGTATATTGAGTTCCTGTGGGCTGGGTAAGAGTCTTCTCATTTTTAGATTAATTGAAAGGATGAATGGAGTACTTACTTGTCCTACTTTTGTTTTTTACCACTATGATTCAAATCATTCATTTTCTTAGGTCAGATATGGGGAAATTTGTTCTTTTCACCCCTGCTTCTCTAGAAACATTACAGGTTGTTATGATGATGATTGACATTTTTGTATTCTCAAGCTATTTTTTGTTTTAAAAGTGTTTCAGGAGCCGTAGAGCCAGCTCGTCATCATGTCTGCATTGTGGCTGCTGCTGGGCCTCCTTGCCCTGACGGGTGAGTGTGGCTGATTTTTCCAAATGACTTTAGAGATGGGAAGGATAGGCGTAGGAACATAATGGCACTTCTAATACTTGAAAATGCAACAAAAACATTATTTTTTTTCCCCTAAACTGTCTAACAAATCCCGGAGTTAGGAACAGCCACCAACAAGCAGCCTCTCCCCAGATGTCCCACAAAAGAGTGGAGTTCTCTGGAATGCAAGGTGGGCTTAAAACAGCACTGCTTGAAGCCAGACTTTAAATATACACCATCGACAGCTGCTCATTGTCCACTATAAAAAATGCCAAATTGAATTTCTTTCTAGAGCATATATTTCCATAGAAGAATTGAGGTGGTTGCCAGAATAAGACTAAAGAATAAGACTAATTCAAATAGAAAACCGGGATCAAGGTAACTGAGAACAGGTGACTAAGCTAAGTATTGAGGTTGATTTAGTTGCTGTGATTGAACTTCAGCTTTGCAGCTGGAGGAAAAAGGGAAAGTATTTGTTTTTGTTTGTTTTTGTTTTCGCTTTTTTAGGTGGAATTTTGCTCTTTCACCCAGGCTGGAGGGCAGTGGTGCAATCCCAGCTTACTGGAACATCTGCCTTCCAGTTTCAAGCGATTCTCTTGCCTCAGCCTCCCAAGTAGCGGGGATGACAGGCGCCTGCCACTACACCCGGCTAATTTTTGTATTTTTAGTAGAGACAGGGTTTCACCATGTTGGCCAGGCTGGTCTTGAACTCTTGACCTCGTGATCAGGCCTCCTAAAGTGCTGGGATTACAGGGTGATGCGCTGCGCCTGGCCTACTTGTTTTTTAATAAAAGGAGGAAGCAAAGTTCCTCAGGAGAAGCTATGTTTTCCTGACTCTAAATTCAATAAATTTCTCAGATGAGGTCTTATAGTCATTCATTTAGTTATTGACCCATTCATTCAACAAATATGTAAAAATGCCTACAAGGTGCTAAGCATTGGGACTACAAAGAATTTTGAGGATCAGAGAGGGTGGCTAGGGAGAGGTTCACAAGGCAGGAACCAAGGAGTGAAGGCAATCAACTGCAATACTAAGGGCATTTTTCACCAGTCATAAAGAGAAAGGTGCACTGTTTAAAAAATAAAAAAGAACGTCAGCTGGTTTAATTTTTAGTATATTCATAAAAGATCGAGTCTTTTCATTTCCACATTTCTCTTAGGTTACTTATCACAAGTTTGTAAAGTAGAAGTATTTACTCCAAAAGACGAGTATTTATTAACCCCATAAAGTTCTAAGAAAAATAGAACCTGAAAATGCGTTTATGTAAATACACAGAACATGTGATTATATGCAATAGATATATCTCCCAACATCTGCAAATCATTAAGGTTTGATAATCTAATCTACTTTAAAGGATCAAATACATTGAAAAGAGTAATCGGGCTGGGTGCAGTGGCTCACGCCTGTAATCCCAGCACTTTGGGAGGTTGAGGCGGGCAAATCGCTTGAGCTGAGGAGTTTGAGACCAGCCTGGGCACCATGGCAAAACCCCATCTCTTCAAAAATTAGACAGGTGTGGTAGCTTGTGCCTGTGGTCCCAATTACTTGAGAGACTAAGGTGGCAGGACAGCTCAAGCCTGGGAGGTTAAGACTGTGGTGAGCCATGATCATGCCACTACACTCCAGCCTGGGTGGCAGTGAGACCCTGTCTATACATAAATGAATAAATAAAAAGGTAATCTAACGAGACATTCTTACAGCCTTATAATGGTGACGTGATTCTCAAAAGGAGCAATTTCCTGCCTACTGTAGGTATCTCAGTACTGGCTCATGTACCCCCATTCTGGTGTGAATTGTGGATATATTATAAATACTTGTGCACCCACCTTGTGTGAATTGTAGATCGAAATACTCGTGCACCCTCCTCCTGGGGTGAAGAGAAGGAACATTCTCCTCTTCAATGGCCTTTGTGAAATCCCGAGTGTCTGAAACCACTCCTCCCCTTCCGTGATGACTGGAATGACAGGTAGAGAGAGATGGAAAGGATAAAGAGAGAAAGGGAAGAAGTGGAAAGTGGGTGATCCCATGTGGAGACTGGTCCCATGCCTCTCTCCTTCACTCCCTTCTGCAGCCTTAGGCTCTTATGTAGAAGTGTACCTGAGAGAAAGTGTAGCCAGTCTCAAATCCCCATTTACAAGCAGTGCCTTACTTTGGATCTGGGTTGATATCCCAGAGACATCCAAGTTTTATACTTGTTTCTTCAGAGCAAACATAAATTTTTCATTAGAGCAACAAGTTAGCAGTATTTGACGGAGAAGTGCCCAGAGTTCATGTAAGATGAAAGATGAGGCCGGGCGTGGTGGCTCACGCCTGTCATCCCAGCACTTTGGGAGGCCGAGGCGGGCGGATCACTTGAGGTCAAAAGTTCGAGACCAGCCTGGCCAACATGGTGAAACCTCGTCTCTACTAAAAATACAAAAATTAGCTGGGTGTAGTGGCATGCACCTTTAATCCCAGCTACTCGGCTGAGGCAGGAGAATCACTTGAACCCAGGAGGCAGAGGTTGCAAACAGTAGAGATCGTGCCACTGCACTCTAGACTAGGCGACAGAGCCAGACTCCGTCTCAGAAAAAAAAAAAAAAAAAGTCAGATGAGGACTACTTTACAGGGAACAGATCCTCTCTGATGTGTTCCAAGACACCACCTGACAACATCAAAGGGTACCAGAGCTTTACAAAGAGTGTAACTGCTTCAGTAGCTCCAATAGTTACTCATGTCTAAAGGAAAGCAGGTGAGAATTGAGTATTGAGGAAATTTTTGTGATCATTTATTGGGATATGTCTCATTTAAATTTCAAAAGAGTTTCAGTTGCAGAGTGAAGGTGATGTAATTGATTTTATTATAGTTACTTTTATTAACGTAATTTTATTCATGGACAGCAGAATGATAAGAACTAGTTCCGTGCCTTAGGCTGAACTTTTCTCAACTTGTAGACTTGTCTGAAAGCAGCAACTGGGGATGCTATGGAAACATCCAAATCCTGGACACCCCTGGAGCATCTTGTGGGATTGGAAGACATCACGGCCTGAACTACTGTGGTAGTTATGAGCTCTCGCCCTCTCAACCTGTCCCCCGGCTCTCACTGTTTCCCATGCCTCACGCTACTGAGTGTCGGAAAGAGTTCCGGGTTCCGGGTATGGGGTCCCAAAGCTCTGCTTCTTGAACAAGTCACTTAGCTGCCTCCTGCATCCGTGGAAAGGGGGCTAGCAGTACAGTATTTACAGTGTCATTGTGAGCTCTGACCGACACAATGTGGATAAGGGTGCTTTTTATTTTTTGTTTTTATTTTTATTTTTTGAGATGAAGTTTCTGTCTTGTTGCCCAGGTTGGAGTGCAATGGTGTGATCTCGGGTCACTGCAGCCTCCACCTCCCAGGTTCAAGCAATTCTCCTCCCTCAGCCTCCCAAGTAGCTGGGATTACAGGCATGTGCCACCATGCCTGGCTAATTTTGTATTTTTAGTAGAGATGGGATTTCACCATGTTAGTCAGGCTGGTCTCAAACTCCTGACCTCAGGTGATCCTCCCTTTTTGGCCTCCCAAAGTGCTGGGATTACAGGTGTGAGCCACTGTGCCCGGTCGAGAGTTCTTTTTAAACCATAAAAGCACCTAGAAGGTAAGGCTAGCCAAGTAGATTAATATTGGCTTTCCTTTTGCCCAGCATTCTTATTATTTCAGAAAGGTTTAAACTCGCATGATTTCTTGGTGTCATTTAGGAGTGGAAAACCGTGCAATTGTGAACAAACTTGTTGAGGAACACTATCTAAAGACTTCTTGAAGGGTTTGGCAGAATTTCTCCTTCATGTCATGTTGCAGCTGATAGACAGGCACATTTTATTTTACTGGGGTGCTTAGAATGGGATCAATGGTTCCTATCGCCATGGAATTGTCCTGGGCGGGCCAGAGCAGCCCCTGAGAGCCCAGCCGAAGGGCACTGACAGCCATAGGGGACCCTGGCTCAGGAGATGCTGACTCAAGTTCACGGGAGGACAGTCCTAACCTCAGGTCAGGGAGCGGCCACTACTAAAGAGTTAAGACCAAAATCTGGGATTCTCAGTCCTCGACCACTACCCAGATCCTTGGGCTGTTCTTTCTCTTTTCCCTTGAGCTCCCGTTGCAGCCTAAGTCACACCAAGCTGCATCCTTCCTTTTGTGTTTGGTTTAGGAGTTCGTGCTTCTGAAAGGCTGGCTGAAATAGACATGCCATACCTCCTGAAACATCAACCCACGATGCAAACCATCGGCCAAAAGTACTGCATGGATCCTGCCGTGATCGCTGGTATCTTGTCCAGGAAGTCTCCTGGTGACAAAATTCTGGTCAATGTGGGCGATAGGACTAGCATGGTGCAGGTAACTCCCCATCTGTTGACACATGGCCATTCTGCTATGTGGCACCACTGCTTTGTTTTTTGGATGATGGCAAAGCTTCGTAGAACACAGCATGAATGAGACTCTTTAGAGCTGTGACAGTCAAAGTTCTGCCTAAGAGATATGAGCAGCAATATTTCTGCTTCATGTTGAGCCACAATTTCTTTTCACAGTAAATAATGCCATGTTTCCAGAATATCATCCGGGTCACCCTATTCTGGATTTCTGGACCTAAGTGGTCCAAGAGAAAGATCATGGATTAAATTTCTCCTCAGTGACTTTGTAGCCATGTGACCTTGAATAAACCATTTAATCTCACTGGGCCCTAGTTTCTCTACCTATAAAATGCCATTCTTACAGCATGATTATGAAGATTCCATGAAATAATGCAAAAAAAGTACCTGATATCCGTTGGATTCTCAAAAAATGTTAAATTCCTTTTCCTTTATCTTTTTTCTATACAATTCTTAGTTCTGAAGATTGAGTTTTAGTTTCGCATGAATTCTGCCTGGTATCACTTGTCAGATAGAGACTTCTGGGGAACTGGTCACTAATCCACTGTGGAATTAACTCTGCACCAGGGAATCAGTGATGGCAGGGTTGAGAATGAGGCTCGATTTTTTTCCATTGATCTCACATTGCTTTTGTGGTGGTTGTTGTTGAGGAACCTGTGAGTATTGCAGTCATTTTTTAAGATTTTGGGAAAATGTATTTCTTGATGATCTCTTCAAATTTGCTTCCCTTGACTTTTTTTTATGATACTTTTCAAGTACTTTCAAATACTTTATTTTACTTGGATTTGGAGACCCATCCAATAATCTGATGAGATGAGGTGAGGGGCACGCAATCCATCCTTGACAAGTGAGGAGATAGAATCACAAGGAAGGAGTCTCTGCTGCAGAGTCACATGGCAGCTGCAAGAGGCAGAACTGGGACCGAGGACAGTATTTTGTGATGTTAGGGCTGGGATCATTTCTGCTGTGCTGTTCTGTCTCCTTTGTAAAATCTGGTTTTTGAGGAAAGGATGAGTCCATCTCCTTTGAAGATGAAATAAGAATTCTCTAGATTTGGGCCAGGCATGGTGGCTCATGCCTATAATCCCAGCACTTTGGGAGGTCGAGGAAGGCGGATTACGTGAGGTCAGGAGTTCGAGACCAGCCCAGCCAACATGGTGAAACTCCATCTCTACTAAAATTCAAAAATTAGCTGGGCATGGTGGTGCATGCCTGTAATTCCAGCTACTTGGGAGGCTGAGGTGGGAGGATTGCTTGAACCTAGGAGGTGGAGGTTGCAGTGAGCTGAGATCGCTCCACTGCCCTCCAGCCTGGGCGACAGAGGGAAACTCCATCTCAAAAAAACAAACAAAAACAAAAAAGAGAATTCTCTAGATTTGGACATTTCTCCCAAATATGATGAAACCTACATGGAAGTGGTAATCAAAGGTATATAAGAAGGGTTAGAAGTCCCTTTAGACATTCAGACCATCTGGAAAAAGAATTACAAGTTCAGACAGAAAAAATCCTTTCTGGCCTGTTTGGAGGGTTTGCACTGGCAGGTTGAAGAAGGGCATCCCACTGCTACCTACACTAACTCAGTCATTAACTGAGTTACACCCTTATGCTGAAGCCGCAGTGAAATGTCTGCTCGTCCCTTCCTTAGCCCAAACCTTGAAACTTTATTACCTTTTTTCTTTGGCAAGAACACTTAACGTGAGATCTATCATCTTAACAGATTTTTTTTTTTTTTTTTTTTTTTTTTTTTTTTTTTAAAGACAGGGTCTGGCTCTGTCACCCAGGCTGGAGTATAGTGGCACGATCTTAGCTCACTGCAACCTCTGCCTCCTGGGCTCACGTGATCCTCCTCCGCCTCCTGAGTAGCTGGGACTGCAAGCATGTGCCACCATGCCTGGCTAATTTTTGTATTTTTTGTGGAGATGGGGTTTCATCATGTTGCCCAGGCTGGTCTCGAACTCCTGGACTCAAGTGGTCTGCCTGCCTCCGCCTCCGAAAGTGCTGGGATTACAGGAGTGAGTCACTTTGCCTGGCCACAGATTTTTTTGGTTGTTGTTGTTAAGTCTAGTTTACTGACTCTGGACGCTTATTGTGCATATGAACACCTGGAGCTCTTGCTTACATGAGAATTCTGATTCAGTAGGTCTGAAATGGGGCCCAGAGTTCTGCAATTCTAATAAATAAGTTCTCAGTTGTTGCTGATGTTGCTGGTCCCTGGACCACATTTTAAGTAAAACCCGGGGTATAGGTTTGGTCAATATGATGGGTGCTGCAAGCAGGGGTGGGGAGCCAAGGGATCAGAGAGTCCTTTCCTTATTTAGGGTGAGACATAGTTTCAGTTACAAAATAGGCTGGGCATAGTGGCTCATAGCTTTAAAATCCCAGCACTTTGGGAGGCTGAGGTGGATGGATCATTTGAGGTCAGGAGTTTGAAACCAGCCCGGCCAACAAGGTGAAATCCTGTCTTTACTAAAGATACAAAAATTAGCCAGGCAGTAGTGGCGGGGTGCCTGTAATCCCAGCTACTCAGGAGGCTGAGGCAGGAGAATCGCTTGAGCCTGGGAGGTGGAGGTTGCAGTGAGCTGAAATCACGCCACCGCATTCCAGTCTGGGTGAGAGACTGAGACCCTGTCTCTATTATTTTAATAATAATAATAATAATTAAGACAGGAGTCAAAAGGAATGTAGAAAAAGAGGGACACATAGAAATAACAAATTAAAATGATAGTAGCAACTACAAGATCTTAATAATTGCAATAAATATAAATAGAGGAAACCTACTGGTTTAAAGACACAGATGTATGAATGAGATTAAAAGCCCAAATTCAGATTTACATGGTTTATGTGAGAAACCCTTAAAGCATTTGAATATGCAAAAGTTTGAGGTAAGAGTGTAGTAAAAAGAAGACCTACCAGGAATACAATAATCAAAATAATGTTGAGAACTATGATACGTTAAATAAAATACACTTTAGAAGAAAAAATATTTGGGATGGAGAGAATCATGACATAACAAAAAGATTGAATTTGTTAAGGAAGTAAAGCAATTTAAAACAAATAGACGCCAGTAAAATAACCTCAAAATATATGCAGCATAAATTATTATTACTATAATAATAAACCCGCTATCATAGTAGGAAATTTTAACACATCTGTCTTGATTATTTACAGGTTATACAATAAACAAACCGGCAAAGATATAGAAGAAAAATAAGTAAAACAATTAACAGATGTAACAAGAACACAATTAACAGGCTTGATTGTTAATTGGGGGAGGGAGGGAGAGCGGGAAGGAAAAAGAGAGAGAGAAGGAGGGGGATATAATTATTTATGTATCCATTAGGATATATACAATTGTCTTATGCACATGAGAAACATTTTACAAAAGTTGCTCATATATCATCTATTAAAGAAACCCTCAAAAATTTCAGATCTCACAATAATACAATTATGCTAGAAGATGATTTTAAAAATTAAAAATATCTCTGATCATATGGGTATTTAAACATACACACACACACATACACAACACTAAGTAACTCTTTAGGTTAAAGAAACAAATCATAGTGAAACTTAAAAATAACTAAAACAGGATGATAGAGAAACACTAGATATTAGAAACGATGAGATATGGTAAAAATGCTTTAAGGGAGATTTACAGTCACAAACCTAGTTTTTTTTTTTTAAAAAAAAAAAAAAGCCTTTTTTTCTAATTTTTAAGTTCAGGGGTTTATGTGCAGGTTTGTTACATAGGTAAACCTGTGTCGTGGGGGTTCGTTGTACAGATTATTTCATCGCCCAGGTATTAAGCCTAGTACCCATTAGTTACGTTTCCTGATTCTCTCCCTCCTCCCACCCTCCACCATCCAGTAGGCCCCAGTGTCTGTTGTTCCCCTCTGTGTGTCCATGTGTTCTCATCATCTGGCTCCCACTTATAAGCGAGAACATGTGGTATTTGGTTTTCTGTTCATGTGTTAGTTTGCTAAGGATAATGCTATCTACAGATGTGTAAGTGTACAATACAGTGTTGCTAATTATAGGCACAATGTCATACATCAGATCTCTAGGTCTGACTTGTCTTGCATAACTAAAATTTTATACCCATTAACTAGCAACTCCCAGTTTCCCTCTCCCCATCAGCCCCTGCAACCATCATTCTATTCTTTGCTTCTATGAACTTAACTATTTTAGATACCTCATGTAAGTGAAATCATGCAGTATTTGTTCTGTGACTGGCTTATTTCACTTACATAGTGTCCTCAAGGTTCATCTATGTTGTCACATAATGCAGAATTTCCTTCTTTTTAAGGTTGAATAATATTCTATGATATGTGTATACCTCATTTTCTTTATTCATTCATCTGTCAGGTACACTTACGTCGTTTCTACCTCTTGGCTTTTGGGAATAGCTTTGCGATGAATGTGGGAGCTCAGATATCTCTTTGAGATCCTGATTCCAATTCTTTTGGATGAATACCCAGAAAGGGGATTACTAAATCATCTGGTATTCATTTTTACTTTTTTTTTTTTTTATTTTTTGAGACAGAGTCTCACTCTTGTTGCCCAGGTTGGAGTACAATGGCACGATCTCAGCTCACTGCAGCCTCCACCTTCTGGGTTCAAGCAATGCTCCTGTCTCAGCCTCCCCAGTAGCTGGGATTACAGGCCCCCACCACCACAGTTGGCTAATTTTTGTATTTTAAGTAGAGATGGGGTTTCACCATTTTGGCCAGGCAGGTCTCAAACGCCTGCCTGGTGATCCAGCCGCCTTGGCCTCCCAAAGTTCTGGGATTACAGGTGTGAGCCACTGCACCCAGCCCATATGGTAGTTCTAATTTTAATTTTTTGAGAAACCACAATATAGTTTTCCATGGTAGCTGCACCATTTCGCATTGCCATCAACAATGTACAATGATTCCAGTTTCTCTACATCCTCACCAACCCTCGTTGTCTTAGTCTGTTTTCTGTTGCTTTTTACAGAATAAGCAACATAAAATAACATGGATACCTCAATATGGGTAATTTATGAAAAATAAAATTTATGTCTTACAGTTCTGGAGGCTAGGGACCCCAAGGTCAAGGGGACACATCTGGTAGAGCCTTCTTGCTGGTGGGGACTCTTTGCAGAGTCCCAAGGTGGCTCAGGGCCTCCCATGGTGAGTGGCTGAGTGTGCTGGCTTAGTCTCTCTTCCTCTTCTTAAAAAGCCTCCAGCCCCACTCCTGTGAGAACCCTTAACCCCCTAACCCATTAATCTGTGGGAAAAGACAGATCAGACTGCTACTGTGTCTATATAGAAAGAAGTAGACGTAAGAGACTCCATTTTGTTCTGTATTTGAGATGCTGTTAATCTATGACCGACCCAACCTTGTCCTTGCAAGAGACACGTGCTGTGGGGACTCAAGGTTTAACGGATTTTGGGCTGTGCAGGGTGTGCTTTGTTAAACAAGTGCCTGAAGGCAGCTTGCTGGTTAAAAGTTATCACCATTTTCTTAATCTCAAGTACCCAGGCACACAGCACTGCCAAAGGTCGCAGGGACCTCTGGGTAGGAAAGCTAGGTATTGTCCAAGGTTTCTCCCTATGTGATAGTCTGATATATGGCCTCGTGGGAAGGGAAAGGCCTGATCGTCCCCCAGCCTGACACCCGTGAAGGGTCTGTGCTGAGGAGGACTAGTACAAGAGGAAAGAAGGCCTCCTGGCAGTTGAGATAGAGAAAAGCATCTGTCTCCTGCCCGTCCCTGGGCAATGGAACATCTCGGTGAAAAACCCGATTGTATGTTCTGTTTACTGAGAAAGGAGAAAAACGCCTTAGGGTGAAAGGTGGGACTTGCTAGCGGCAATGCTGCTCTTTATGCACTAAAAAGGTTTATGGAGATGTTTACATATGCATATCAAGGCACAGCACTTTTCCTTAAACTACGTCACAGAGATCTTTATTCATATGTCTTACTGCTGACCTCCTCCCTACGATGATCCTATTATCCTGCCACCTCCCTTTTTCTAAGATGGTAAAGATAATGATCAATAAATACTGAGGGAACTCAGAGACCGGTGCCAGCGTGGGTCCTCTGTATGCTGAGCTCCGGTCCCCTGGGCCCACCTTTTCTTTCTTTGTACTTTGTCTCTGTGTCTCATTTCTTTTCTCAAGTCTCTTGTTCCACCTAACGAGAAACGCCCACAGGTGTGGAGGGGCAGGCCACCCCTTCATTAATCTATGAATAGATTAATCTAATCACCTCTTAAAGGCCCCACCTCTCAATACTGTCACATCGGTGATTAAGTTTCAACATGAGTTTCACAGGGGACAAACATTCAAATTATAGCACCGGTCTTTTGCATTTTTGCATGACAGTAGCTATTCTAACTGGTATAAATAGCTTTACTGTTTGATCTCCAGGTGCTGTTGGAGGGCCAGGTCAAGTTCTTGACTTTGCCACACAAAAGAGTTGGGGCACAAGTCCGAAGTAAAAGTAGGCGAAGAAGTTTATTGCAAAGTAAAAGTACACTCTGGTAGATGGGTGGAGAATGAGACAGCCTCATGTGACATGGGGAAATCCCTTCCAGGAAAGCTTGTATGATTATTCGTATGAGAGAGGGGATGGCTGTTGCTGTTATGCATGTTTCGGGGTCTCCTGCATGCACGAGTGCTATTGCTTTGCATGCTAGCACATATATCGTGTGTCTCAGTATTTGAATTCTCTACCCAGGGATGTGCTTTTTTTTCACTCTTACAATGAGCGTAGGTCAACCCAAGGACACTCATCATGGGTTTCTGTGCTTGCATGGATCTGGGGATTTTCCCTTCTGTTCTTTGTCCTGCTTACCGCAGATTTTTTAAAAATATTTATTTATTTATTTATTTTTAGACAGAGTCTCACTCTGTCACCCAGGCTATGCAGTGGAGCAATCATGGCTTACTGCAACCTCCGCCTCCCAGGCTTAATCGATCCATCCTGTTAGGCTCAGGTGATCCTCCCACCTCAGCCTCCCAAGTAGCTGGGACTATAGGCGCACACCACGACGCCCAGCTAAGTTTTGTATTTTTTGTAGAGATGAAGTTCTCCCATGTTGCTGAGGCTCATCTCGAACTCCGGAGCTTAAGTGATCCACCTGCCTCAGCCTCCCAAAGTGCTGGGATTACAGGCACGAGCCACCGTGCCTGGCACTGTAGGATATTCTGACCATGAGTCCTGAATGTAGTTTGTGCACCGTCAGTGGTTTGTTCTCTCCACCTCTCTGGTAAATTTGTTCCCCATAAGGGAGGCTATGACCATCGTATCTAACCTACCTCACAGGGAGACTGAAGGTGGCATTGGTTCCATCAAAGGTGAAAGGAGAATAAGAGAAAGGAAAGGAACAAGCGCCACTGAGCCCAAGAAGGCAGATCACCCTCCCACCCAGCTTACGTGGCTTGTCCTCTGCCTCCCTCCTTCCAGGAACCTGGCTCTCACGCTCCCGCAGACTGGATTAGTGAGTCTCAGGCTTCCCAGATGACTGAAGCTCTGGCTACTAGAATCAAAGAAATCCAGAGGAGGTTTCCAACCTGGAGCCCTGACCAGTACCTGAGAGGTACGTGTAATGCTGTCAGTCAGTTGTCTCAAGCACAGAATTAATAGGGACAAATGTATTACAGTGCACCAGATTCCCCAGCTGCCTCCTGATAGGCAGTTAGTAAAGAGACTCAGAGTTAACTGCTGAGCTGAGTACCCTAGGTCAGTATGAACCTATCATCTCGTGCATTTCAGGTGGACTCTGCGCCTACAGTGGGGGTGCTGGCTATGTCCAAAGCAGCCAGGACCTGAGCTGTGACTTCTGCAATGATGTCCTTGCACGAGCCAAGTACCACAAGAGACATGGCTTCTAACACCTCAGAGGAAACCCAAGACCGTAATCACATGTGCAGCCTCAAATGTTACACGGATAAAACTAGCCAAGGCCGCCTGTAACTGGGAATCTGAGTTTAACCTAAAAGTTGTTAAAATAACATGAATCACATTAAAGGAAGGATTTTCACCTGCATTTATGATATGTAGTGTCTGTCTGTGTGGATCAAGGGCCGTGTTTCTTTAAAGGCATTCTCGTGGACATTAGCCGTGCTGTGGGTTTCTGTGAAGTGAATTTTATTTTTCACTGACTAGCGTTGCCATATTTAGCAAACAAAAATATAGGAAGCCCAGGTTAAATTTGAATTCCAGATAAATGACAAGTAATTGTTTAGTATAAGTCCCACGCAATATTTGGAACACATTTATACTAACAAATTACTAACTGTTTATTTAAAATTCAAAATTATCTCGACTTCCTGTATTTTATCTGGCAATCCTATCATTAACTTCTTTGATAAAAGTCAGTGTTTCAAATTTTAATTGAAAAATTTTGCCAGGCACGGTGGCTTATGCCTGTAATCCCAGCATTTTGGGAGGCTGAGGCGGACGGATCACGAGGTCAGGAGATCGAGACCATCCTGGCTAACATGGTGAAACCCCGTCTCGACTAAAAATACAAAAAATTAGCCAGGCATGGTGGTGGGCACCTGTAGTCCCAGCTACTCAGGAGGCTGAGGCAGGAGAATGGCGTGAAACTGGGAGGCAGAGGTTGCAGTGAGCCGAGATCGGGCCACTGCACTCCAGCCTGGGCGACAGAGCGAGACACCGTCTCAAAAAAAAAAAAAAAAAAAAGAAAAAGAAAATTTTTGATGAGAAAAAGGATAAGATGGCAGCCAGCCCCATCTACTGCATGAAATGGCTTCTGGAAAGTCACTTGCTAACTTTCTGGCATCATCTTAACCCTAGAATTGTCTCTCTGTCATGAAAGCTATTGTCTCCTTTCCTTTCCTGGACAACTGAACCTTCTCCTACACCCAAACTCCCTAATTTTCCTGCCCAAATTATCTCTAACTCAGCTAAACTATTCCCTTGTTTGGGGGCACTTAAGTCACCAAGAGAGCCGGGCCATGGGAGGTAATTCGTCAGCCAGAGCTGCCCACAAGTACATTAGCTGTGCACTGTACTAGTAAATTACTGAATTTGAAGATTTATATTCTATAAAAGTTATTCATGTCCCATTCTATCATCTGTACAAATCAGCACTTTACAGATTGATAAAGATGATATAGCAACTAACGAATCCTACTGAATCCTCTATCTGCAGGTACTGCATTAAGAACTATAAAACCAGGATGCAAAGACATTGTCCTTGTCCACAAAGGCTCCTGTATTAGTCCATTATCACACTGCTATAAAGAACTGCCTGAGACTTGGTAATTTGTAGAGGAAGAGGTTTAATTGACTCACAGTTCCTCACGGCGGGGGAGGCCTCAGGAAACTTACAATCGTGACAGACAGGGAAGCAAACACATCCTCTTCATATGATGGCAGGAAAGAGAAGAGTCAAGCAAAGAGGGAAAAGCCCCTTATGAAACCACCAGATCTTGTGAGAACTCACTATCATGAGAACAGCAGCACGGAGGTAATGGGAATATGGAGATTATGGGAACTACAATTCAAGATGAGACTCGGGCAGGGACACAGCCAAGCCATATCAACTCCTTTTCTAATTCAGATACAGATAATTAGCCAAGAATACAATAAGCTAATTTCACTAAAGAAGAAATAAAAAAAATCAAGGATGTGTCAGTAGGTGAATTTTGGAGAACTGAGGCCCAAATTCAAATTCACGCAAGCAAGAGACAAGGCCATTTATTAGGTGTTGCTCTCACACCAGCCCTGACAGGTTGCATCATTTTTATTCCCTTGAACAGACAAGAGAAGTGGCAACCAGAGTTGTTGATGGTATAATCAGCCCTCCATAGCCATGGTTTTGGCATCTGTGGATTCAGTGTGAATGGAAAATATTCGGGAAAAAAATTGCATCTTGGGAGGCTGAGGCAGGAAGACAACTAGAGCCCAGGAGTTTGAAGCTGCAGTGAGCTATGCACCACAGCAATCTAGCCTAGGCAACACAGTGAAACCTTGTTTTAAGAAAAAAAAATTTTTTTTATCTGTACTGTAAACATAGACTTTTTTTTTCTTGTCATTATTCCCTAAACGGTACAACTATTAACATATCATTTACATTGTATTAGGTATTATAAGTCATCCAGAGATGATTTAAAGTATACATGAAGTTGTGCATAGGTTATATGCAAACCGTCCATTATCTTGTATCAGGGACTTGAGCATCCATGGATTTGGGTATGGGGGTGGCTCCTGGCCCCAGTCCCTCAGGATACCGAGGGATGATTGTAATTCATCAACAGAAACTGGCCCTAGGTCACAAAACCGGTAAGGGACAGGACCATAATCCAAACCCAGATATCTTCAATGTTAAAGCCCATTTTTTTATTTTAAGTTTTAATTTTTTCCTAAGTGGCACATGTACATAATTAGATGGTTGGCACACACATGCACATGTGTGCATATGTCATGGGGTGTTCAGTTGACCAGCTGGCCTGGTTTGCCTGGAACTAGTGGATTTTCTGGGACATGCAGTTTTTAGTGCTACAACTGGTAAAATTAAACTTGAAAAGTCCCAGGCAAATTGGTCTTTTTGACCAATTTGATGAGTTGGTCACTCTAGCTTGGCCTTCCTTTTCCAGGAGGTATTTGAAAATATGTGAGGGCAGTTTTCTTCCCTCCCTCCCTTCTCATTCTCTTTCTTTTGGTATTGTTACAAAGCCTGGGGTAGGGGGTTGGAGTTAGACATTACTGGTATTTTGGGAAGTGAGTGGGCAAGGACTGCTAAATATTTTGCAGTTTGCGCTGGGCAGGATGGTCCCACCCAGTGAAAAGCATATAAAAAAAATTTTTTTTTACGTCTTCCTGATTTAGCCTTTTGTCAGCTTTACAACCCATATCGTTTTGTTCAGAAATCTGACAGCCATCTCTTTGAAATGTAAACACCTGGGAAAATAATGTCTCTATGTCCCATTCACTGTGGAAGTTTAACCTCTGAGCACCTTTCTGTTTCCATCTTAATCTGCTTGTCACAGAGATAAGACAAATTTATTATTCCTTTTTTTTTTTTTTGAGACAGGGTCTTGCTCTGTCACCCAGGCTGGAGTGCAGTGGCACAATCACAGCTCACTGCAGCCTCGAGCTCCTGGGCTCAAGTGATCCTCCCGTCTCAGTCTCCTGAGTAGCTGGGACCACAAGTATGTGCCACCACACCTTGGTAACTTTAAAGTGATATGAGGTCTCACCATGTTGCCATGCCATTATTATTCCTTTTGATAAAGGCGAATTTAGGCTAAACTCTGAAAGAATGTACAGCAAATGACTCTGTTAAGTCTTCTCATAGGAGGATAGGTTACTGTTAATAGAGAACCTATGTATGTAATGGCTAAAAATAGAGCAGTAGAAAAGGATTGTAACTTCTCACCTCCTTTGAGAATGAAAAAGGGATTGTAACTTCTTGGCTGCCTAAGTAGGGTGGAATTTCTTTCTGCATGTAAAATCTCTGCAGATGATCAAGCTTTGTCCATGGTATGCTGGTTTATGCTTATTCAATAATAAAACTGCTTTCTTTCATTTTGATGTTTTGTAGAGATTTTAAATTTCCCAACAATACAAAAAGAAAAGAATATTTGGTTAAAGATCACTAAACTCTGGGCTGACAGTCAGCTGGGTGTGTAGGGGACTGGTGTCTCAGTGTAAGTCTTAATCACATTAAAGTTATTATTTGTTTTTAAGTACAAGATTTTTCTATTAGGATGCCAGAGATTTCTTCCTACAGACTATGAATTACATCACAAAAAATAGTTTGGTCTCAGATCAGATACTATGCAAACACTGTTTACAGCTGAGTTGTATACTCATCCGAGATTACTTTACTTTCTTGAATAATAATGGAGTTAATAATTATCCATTGCTTGCTGCCTTAGTTCTGTCTGTACTTATCACTAGTTCAACTCTAAATTTCCTCTTAATTGGTAGTTCATATCAGAGAGTCTATCAATTATTTTTCATGAAGAACTCTTTCTTGGAAACTTCTGACCTGCTCCTCTCTCAGGTAAGTCAGAAAGCTCTACAAATATCCTGGGATCCCCTTTCCCATATTCCTTTGTAACTGTCCTATGTTGCACCTTTCATTTTTTACATCCTTTCTCAGCTTACTCCTTTGTTTTGATGGAGCACATCCTCTAGCAGCTTTCTGAGAAAAGTGAATAGGAGATAAGTTTTTTGAGACTTTCCATGTCCAAAATATCTTTCTTTCTATTCTCACATGAATTAGTGAATTTGTGCTGGAACAGAATTCTAGTTTGGAAATAATTTTCCTTTGGAGTTTTTAAAGCAGTTCTCTGTTGGTCTTTGGGCTTTTAGGGTTACTCTTGAGAAGCCTGAAATCATTTTGGTTTTAATCCTCTCTCTATATTTCTCTTTCTTCTCTTTAGAACAGTGGTGTCCAATCTTTTGCCTTCCCTGGACACACTGGAAGAAGAATTGTCTTGGGCCACACATAAAATACCCTAACACTAATGATAGCTGATAAACTAAAAAAAAAAAAAAAAAAAAAAAAAATCTCATAATGTTTTAAGAAAGTTTACGGGCCGGGCACAGTGGCTCACACCTGTAATCCCAGGGCTTTGGGAGGCCGAGATGGATGGATAACCTGAGGTCGGGAGTTCAAGACCAGCCTGACCAACATGGAGAAACCCTGTCTCTACTAAAAATACTTCAGAGGCTGAGGCAGGAGAATTGCTTGAACCCAGAAAGCAGAGGTTGTGGTGAGCTGAGATTGCACCATTGCACTCCAGCCTGGGCAACAAGAGCGAAACCCGATCTCAAAAAAAAAAAAAAAAAAAGAAATTTTACTAATTTGTGTTGGGTCACATTCAACGCTGTTTTGGACTGCATGAGGCCCGGGTTGGACATAAT